TTTTCACAAGCAAGGCAGATTGCGAGTTCCTCGTTACGTACAGATCAAAATGTGCCTAAAATCATAGATGTAACAGGCCTGGAGGATCAGGATGTAACTAGCCTGGAGCACTAGCCTAAATAGTACACAGGCCCATTCCTCTTGACTCCCTTGAACATGACGATAACACAGACCCATTTGGGAGATGAAGTTAGCAAGAAACAAACTTGTTTTTCTCGTATAAATATCTAGCCTCGTGAAGCCTTCCTACATTGCCCTCCAAAAGTTAAGGAACAGAATATTTTTCAAAGCTCACCATTACAAAAATGTCAGTAACGTTTAAATTCACACTTCATATGCATGACAGTAGCAAAGTTTAAGAAAATGTGTGCAAAAACAATAGCTATCACTTTCATTTTATCGAAATGAATACTTATATAGGAGTTGGAGAAAAAATGAAAAAAAAAAGTAAAAATCTGAAAGGTTTCAGATTTTAAATTACGACCAAAGGGGCGTTTTTTTTTAACATTTTGTCTGTTACCTTTATTTATTAAATATCACGTTCTTCGCACTTAAGCGATAAAATTCAGTTCAAGAGCAATATCGCAGAATAGTTTTAAATTGAGCATATCTTTAGAATTTCCGATAGAGTCTCGCGAGCAGGAGATAAAAATGTTTTTTCTGTACAACATTACCATGGCTCGCTTTGAAATCCTTGAGTTTGTTAATCAAAAATTCGTTAAAATTTTACAAAATATCAAATCGATAATAAAACAAATTCCAAATTTCAAATTTGAGTTTCCACATGCCCGTATTCGAAGTAGGCTTACGTCATTTAAAATGGGATGGCTCTATGTACCGTTGTTTTATCATAATGCGAGAAATATACATAGAATTATGCGAATTTTTCTTTATTTAATTTCTTCAAATATAAGGCAGGACTCTTAACATTTAGTGGCAACAGTTTGAAAATTGAAACGGACATTTATAGTGAAACAACGCAAAGTCGCAAAACGAAAACAATAGTCCTTTAGGTACAAAGCCCCTTCGGACTAAAAATTGTATTTTTTTCACGATTGTTGATCTTCAGTTGTTATTACAGCTTCATGAACAATATCCAGGAGAGTCTATCAATGTCTAGGAGGTGTCTTTTGCCCGATTCGTTGAGGCGGCGGGCGATCGGATGGATGTAAATAGGAATGTCACAAGCTGATACTGCTAGAATAACTAACATAAATAATTACCATATCACACATCGGTTGTTTTAATCAGAAAGTATACATTTTCATATTGTTCCTTTAATTTTGACGACCAGCGGGTAGATATTTTATAGAGAAGTCTGAAGTTTACTGAAACCTAATTTACCGAACTGGCGTTGCTTAATTTTTCGGAATCAGAATCCCTTCACAAGACGACGCCATTTAGATTTATTTTTTGATACATTCTTTCTAATTTATCCTCTTTTTCGGGCATATGTTGAAATATATTTGATTCGCATCAAAAATAACAAATTATAAAAAGAAATTTTGAAAAGCATTACCGAAATGTAAATTTTCCCTTGACAAAAAAAAAAAAAAAAAAAAAAAAAAAAAAAAAAAATCTGGTAAAGTTTAAAGTATGATATTTAATCACTATCGGGATGACAAAGTATTTTATATTTTGAATGCTTTCGTGATAAATATTCTTCTAATATAATCAAAGCTAGTTTTATCTTAGAGCAAAATAAATTGGAAAATATAAACTAAAAAGAATTTCTTCCTGAAATTTTTGTGTAATATTCGTTTTTATGTTAATGCTTCAACTCCTTATAAATAACTTGTTTTTCAGAGGGAAAGGAAAGTACAATGAAAGTAACTGGCAACGCTGGGATTGCATTTTAGGTAATCTGATTGTTTATCATTGAATGATCAGAAATTTGAGGAATTATAATAATATGCATGAGATTTAGAGTTTTAAAACTAATTGTTTGCCTATTCTTGAAAGAACTTGGAGTTCATACATTGCTGTTAAAGACTGTGCAAATTTCGAGAAAAATCGAGGAATCTAAGGGCGTGGGGCTCTTCTTGAAAGCAACGGAAAGGGTGATCAATATTTTAAGAGAAAAATTCCCTATAGAGAAAGCTTTAATTTCAAATGCATTTCTAAATTAATATCTCTCCATATTTTGTCATGTCATTTAATAAATTAATTTTTTTCTTCATACAGATCATTTTCTATTCCACTAGCATTTTTATGAATGCTGGTCTGTCGAAAGAGGCAGCAGTTTATGCGACAATGGGAATGGGCACAATCAATGTCTTCATGACCATCGTATCTATGGTTCTAATCGAAAAGGCAGGACGCAGGACATTGCATATGATTGGTTTAGGAGGCACAATGTCCGTTACTTTGTTGCTCACAGTTTGCATGGCTTTGACCGTAAGAAAATTTTAAGTAATTATAAATGCTTTTATTATTTATAAATATATTAACATCTTTAAAAATGTTTTTATTATTTATAAATATGCTGACATCTTTTATAATGTTTTTATTATTTATAAATATATTGTTGCGTGCGTACGTATTCGTTACGAAGTGAATGCACAAGTCCGATGAAAAATGAACAAAATTTTTTATTATCACAACAAAAATGCTTAAATTTTCTCAAATTATCATGCAGTATTACAATATCTCAAGTAGTTATCTTTTTAACTACTCAAATGTACAATAGAACGTAATTCAAAACAGCTAAAGAACGCTAATCCGCGAATTCGCTATAAAATCAAATCAACCGCAGTTTTCTAAACAACAACAAATAAGCAACTACTACAAACTGAGATGTTTTCCTCCTTTTATAAGATTTTAAAATCACGCGCTAGAATTTCCAGTACTTTCTCGAAATCAAAAGAGATATTTATTTATTTAATGCACGCGCTCTTGTATTTTCAATTTTCCGGCTTAGCTTTCTTTTAATATTCGTCACGCGCTGCACTACGCGAGAAATAAAACCATTTAATTTATAATTAAACTAACATTAGCTTTTTAAATACCAAATTCGTAACACTGCCCCCCTTCCCAAGGACTGCACGTCCCGGGCAGTACAATCCCTGGACAGGAAGCTAAACTTACAACTGTGGCATAAACATTACATTACAATATCAAACAACATGAACAATAAATGCAATAACTAACTTAAACAAATCAAATGCTATCAAATACTAAATACAAAACAAATACTATATACAAATCAAATACTAAATGCAAATCAAATACTAAATACAAATCAAAATAAATACAAACAAATCAAATCAAATAACATTAAAAACAAAAAGGACCATGGCCTGATACTATTTACAATTATTTATATTACGTACTATGGCCATAGTAATGAGCTAACCTGTCGTAATGAACGACTTTAGGTTTAGAGTTCGAAGACTTACGAATCCGAACCACGACGTCATTCAGCCTGTTTAGAATTGTGTACGGGCCATCCCAAGGTGACTGTAATTTCGGACAAAGTCCTTTCCGTCGAGTCGGATTCCACAACCACACTTTGTCTCCTTCGTGGAATTGATGTTCAGTAGCTCTTGTGTCGTATCGGGTCTTCATCTTCTCCGTCGCTAAGTTGACTCGCTCTCGTGCAAAGTTGTGCATCACTTCAAACCGGGCCTGGAGATCTTGATAATATTCTCAAGACGATGAAGGAGCATCTGGAGGGCGGCCAAACAATAGATCACAAGGCAGACGAAGGTCACGACCGAATAGCATCTGTGATGGAGAATAGCCGGTAGTCTCGTGGACAGCACTGCGGTAAGCCAGTAGAAACAGCGATAATTTCTTGTCCTAGTCCTGCTGGTTTCTGAAAACCACTAATGAGAGGTTATTAAGGATGGTTCGATTGAACCTCTCTACCATGCCGTCCGACTGGGGATGTAATGGCGTCGTTTGGGTCTTGTCAATGCCGAGTAGTTTGCATAGTTCTTTGATTACTACCGAGGTAAAATTCCTTCCCTGATCGGAATGTAACTGAAGAGGCACTCTGAACCTGGAAATCCAGTGCTGTATCATTACCTCAGCTACTGTGACAGCCTCTTGATCAGGAATAGGATAATCTTCAGGCCACTTGGTGAAGTAATCAACGACAACGAGTATGTATTTGTTGCCATCAGCAGTTCGTGGCAGAGGTCCCAGGATGTCAAAGGCGATTCGTTCAAAAGGTGCCCCTACGTTTGTAACGTTGCAGCTTGCCTCGGCTGCGTCTCTTAGGTCCTTTCCGACCTGCACAGGCATCGCAAGATCGGCACCCCACTTTTGCACGTCATCCTTTGCATATTCCAGTAAAAGCGCTCACGAACTCTCTGTAAGGTCTTCATTATTCCAAGTGACCTCCGTAGGGCTGTTATGTAGTTCTTAAGGACATCCGGAATGCGGGATCTTGGAAGTATCAGCTGCCATCGGAACGTCTTCCCATCATCCGATTCGAATTTCCGGTATAAGACGCCGTTTCGAATGTGAAGTGAATCCCAGAGTGCCCAATATATCGTTTGGTTGTAGGACTACAGATAGAAATGTCCTGCCAGGTAGGTTTTCTGTTTGACGACTCCATTAGATCAATTATGGGTTTAATGTCGCGGTCTTCCAGCTGGTCTTTCCTGACTTCATCATCACTCCACGGTTCTCGATCAGCCGATGTTGTTGATGTTGTAATTTGTCTTGCGACCGGAGTCAGCAGCTCGTATTTCGCTTCCACCCTGGAACAATATCGACAGTTTTCTTGGCAAGGTCTTCTAGACAGGGCGTCGGCGTTTCCGTGTGATGATCCCTTACGATGACGGATAGTGATGTCATATTCTTGGAGTCTATGTATCCACCTGGCTATTTGACCCTCAGGATTCTTGAAATTTAAAAGCCAGGTCAATGATGCATGATCGGTGCGGAGCAGGAATTTTCTGCCAAATAGATAGTGATGGAACTGTTCTACAGCTTTGACTATGGCGAGCAACTCTTTCCTGGTGACACAATAATTTCTCTCCGGCTTAGACAGGCACTTGCTCCAGTACGCCACTACACGTTCTTGGCCGTCTATTTCTTGGGACAAAACAGCACCGACACTTTCATTGCTCGCGTCGGTGTCGAGAATAAATGGTCGGTCGTGCTGAGGATACGTCAGGATTGGAGCAGATGTTAAAGCTTCCTTTAAGTTGTTAAATGCATCGTCGCATTCTTTTGTCCACAAGAACTTTTGCTTGCTCTCTGTCAGCTTGTTAAGGAGTCTTGTGATGGAAGAAAGATCCTTCACGAATCTCCTATAGTAGGTGCAAAGCCCTAGGAAGCTTCTCTGCTGATGGACATTTTTGGGACGTTTCCAGGATTTAACGACTGACACCTTTTCAGGAATCCGTGCAGCACACAACTTCTGCAGAGATGATATGTCCCAAGTCACTTCCTTTCGGAACAATTTGCATTTAGCAGGGACTCAGCTTCAGAATTGGCTTCTTTCAGTTTCTGAAGCATCTTTCTAAGATTTTCTAGATGTTCTTCAGAACTCTTTCCAACGATGATGATCGTCCAGATATATCAGACAGGCTTCGTAGGAAAGTCCTTTCAAAACAGTCTCCATGAGGCGTTCGAATGTTGCCGGCGCATTACACAGTCCAAACGGCATCACCTTGAATTGCCAAAGCCCTTGTCCCGTAGTAAATGCCGTCTTTTCTCGGTCATGAGGGTTTATTTCTACCTGCCAATACCCACTCTTTAAATCAAGCGTTGAGAACCGCTTGCTTCCAGAAAGAGTGTCTAGAATGTCGTCAATTCTAGGAAGAGGGTAACTGTCTTTCTTCGTAACCTCATTCAACCGGAGATAGTCAACGCAAAATCTTGTTGAGCCGTCTTTCTTTCTGACGAGAACGATGGGAGATGCCCATGGACTTGTTGAAGGCTCGATGACATCGCCTTCTTCCATATCTTTTTTTACAGTGTTCGCACCTCTTCCTGTTTAGCAAACGGCAGACGCCTTGGATGTTGCTTGATCGGGGGATGATCGCCGGTATCTATTCTATGTTGTGTCAAACTAGTTCGACCCACGTCAGAAGACGAGCGGGAGAAAACAACTTGAAGATCTTTAATGACGCGATCGGCAGCATTTTTCTCTTTATCGTTTAATGTGCATTCTGGCAATAACTCCGATGTAATGCTCTCTGAGGACACGGATTCTGGGATGTTACTCTTTCTTTCAACGCTGGTACTGGAGTACACGTTGCAACCACTTCACCTTTCTTAATAACTCTCGACTTTTCAGTTACATTGGCGACTCTCACCGGGATAACCGTTCTGGATAGGTCGACGATGTTGAGGCTACTAGTACTCCCTTTTGGGATATTACAGTTATTGGGATATTCTATGATGCCGTAGCGGAAATTCTATTTTCGGCTATGGATCCAGGAAGTAAATTTCTGTTCTTGCCGGTATTGTGATATAGTCTTGTGCTATGATTTTTATGGACAGATTTAACTTCTTCATCATTAACGAAAATAACGCTATGTCCTCAGATGTAGAATGCAATTCGTTATTTTTAAAATCCAAGGAAAATTGTATTTCCTTAGAAAGTCCAATCCGAGTATGCAAAAATCAGTGATCTCTGCTACATATGCCGTGTGATGGTAAGCGGCACTTCCAAACGTGATGTTAACATTTCCTTTTCCGTCGATGTCGATCTTCTCACCGGACACAGTCTGGAGAGTAACGCAGGGCGGCGTCCAGATAAGTTTGTTTCCTAGTTGTTGAGCCAAATCTTTTTGGATGATGGTGACGTTGGCTCCTGGACTTGAGCAGCTCTGACTGGGTGGCGGTCTCGACGAGTGGCTTGCTGGGCTGCCTCAAATTTCATGGCGTACACTGAGCACTTTTTAAATCTTTTACATCCGCCATCGTAGAGCTTTCTGTATTTCAGTATCTGGATGCCGTCGATAAGTATTGCAGGACAGGATTTCCCTTGTTGTCGGGCATTCCGAAAGGCGAGATGGGACAGCCTTTCAACATCCGCGGCGAGCTCCTGAAGTGTTTCGGTAGGCTTCTGTTGACGAGATTTTAATTGGAGCCTGCTGTAGTCTTTTAAAACACTTCTCCCCAAAGCGCAACTCCCAAGGCGCCGGACAGAGCTTCGAAATCTAACCTTTTGTTTTCGGGAAGAGTCTGAAGGATATCTGCTGCGTCGGCTCTTAGAGAAGCGCGAGATGACAGGCCTTAGCTTGGGAATCCCATCCATTCGCATCCGCCACGATAGAAAATTGTGTCTTATACACCTGCCAGGAGGTCTTCCCATCATATGTGGATAGCTTCAGGGGGGTGGACGAGCAGGCATTGGTAAGAATTTAAAATCATCACTCCTGCTCCCTGCCGACGCTACGAATTTCTTTAAAGTATCCATTTCTTTGGCAACT